AAAAAAAAAAAAAAAGGCAGAAAGAAAACACAGAAAAAAAGGAGCACAAAAGTGAAAGAATTAAAGATCTGTGATATTATTTCATATCTCCACTTTATTTCGCAGTGACCAAAAATACTTCCAAATAGTTTCTATTAAACATAGCAGGGTTTGCTTATATTTCTCAAGTGAAAAGTATGTGTGCATATCCAAGCCTCTGTCAAAATAGATGTGCTTAGAAGGCTGGTGATTGAAGAAAAAATGAGAGAGAACATGTTTCTTATGGAAATGAAAAATAATGTTGCAGGTTTGAGGTTGCAGCCCAGTCCTGTTCATTGACTGGTTCCTACAGACATTTGACTGTAACCCCCTGCCTAGAGCATCACCTTTTTTAATTAAAAAGTCCCTGCTTAATCATATAATAAATTATTCTGAAAAATACTTTTTAGTTCCTTAACATTTTATAGGTAATGATAGAAAATAAATGCATAGAAAAGTACTTCAGAATTTTTATCTACATTTAAATATGCATTTTTGCCTTAATCATAATTTGAAGACATATGGAAATTTCCAGGATTAAAAGATATACGGGGAAATAATCTTCTTTCATGGAAAGTAAATTGAGTATTTTATTTATGAACATTTATTTCCTGAAAATCACTTACTTCAAATTTTTTCTTCAAATATATTTTAATTTTATTTGTAAAATTTTCACTGAATCCTGATGTTTCATAGATTCAAGATCATGGCTCATCTTATATTCGAGGCTGTGCCTTTCATAATGGCTTTTCCCCAGCAATCGGTGTGTTTGGAACAGATGGAGTAGACATAGATGACAACATCATTCACTTTACAGTGGGGGAAGGTAGTATGATAATATTTTTGTCCAAATAACATGCTTCCTGAGACAATCTTATCTGAAGACTCTAGAGCCATGCTGTTTAATTGATCTTCTTGTGAGAATGGAAATGGCCTATATCTATGCTAATACAGTAATTACTAAACCACATGTGGCTACTGAGCACTTAAAATGTGGCTACTGTGATTGAATAACTGGATTTTTAATTTTAATTGTACTTTTTTTTTTTTTTTTTTTTTTATAGTGAGAGAGAGAGTGCGAGTCGGGGAGAGGGCAGAGGGAGAATTCCAAGCAGGCGTGGAGCCTGTCATGGAACTCACTCCATGATCCCGGGATCACGATCCCAGCCAAAATCGAGAGTCACATGCTCAACTGACTGAGCCACCCAGGCACCCCTAATTGCACTTAACTTGAATTGTACTTACTTTATATTTAAGTAGTTGCATGTGGCTATGGCTATCATAGCCATAGTAGTACAACTCTAGAATTATTTACCAGACCATGATATCGTGTGAATCATCTAATCACCAATAGTTTAAATTACTATGACTCTTAAAATACTCCTCACATATCAATCAAAAAGATTATTCACAAATAAAGGTTACTATTTTTTAAAAATTGGACTTGGTTTTAGGGGGTTATCCTTTCTTGAATATCAGTATAAAGCATAATACAAACTCATTAATGTGTATAAAATTGATGTGTTTGGTAAAATCTGAGGCAGAGCCTGTCAACCCACATATTTAATAGGCACCCCAGAAGATTTTAATGCAGGTAGTCTATTAAAGAGGTAGAGTTCAAAAGGTGTACTCTAGAATTTAGGAGGTTGATTTGTCAGGTTCAAACTAGAAAATGAATTTCATGGAAACATGAAAGACATTCCCCATAGGACTCATTGCAAATTTTTATGTATTTGAGGGGATTTTATTAATTTTTTGCAGGAATAAGAATATGGGGGGATGCCAACAGAGTTCGAGGAAACTTGGTGGCACTTTCAGTTTGGCCGGGAACCTATCAAAACAGAAAGGATTTAAGTTCAACTCTCTGGCATGCAGCAATTGAGGTAGAGTGATCAGATTTATAGTTATACAAAGGTATACAAAATTATAATTTGTAATTTCTTCACTGAAGATTATAAATTCTGTAGAAACTGTAATTCTCAAAATACTGAAAACTATTTCTTCCTTAAAGATTGGTGAACTAATAAAATAAGCTAAAGAAAGGAGAGAATAAACTTTCTTAAAAGATGTGGCAAGCTCCCACAGCCATTGGATTTTTCTTTGTGTGGATGCCCAGTGGTTTAAATATTCTCTTATTGCCTTGTTTCTCCAACATTAGTTATCACTTTGAAGTTCTGGTACAGGGTCTCTCTACTGTTAATTGACTGAGTGCCCTGTCGATATTACTACTTTGAATTTAGTTTTCTTCTTCGTAAGGAAAATTAGAGTAACAGACTACAGAATCTTTAAAATCTCTTTCTCATCTAAAACTCTTATGATTCTCTATGCAAAGTTATTTAGTCTAATCGGTATTCTTAGCTGAACCCTTCTTGTTGCTCATAAAGTTTCTTCAATCACTGTAGGTTGTTAGGGGTAGGATGAGAAGGCAGGCAAGCAAATAGAAAGTACAGAGGAAGGGTTTGGAGGAAATAAAGCTCCATCTTGTTTTTATTTTACTTACCTATGCCATAGGAACCAAAAGGAATTTTAAAAATAGCTCTCTTCGGAATATGGGGTAAGGATTGAGTTTTGTTTTTGTGCAACTATTAACAATTACCTTAAAGTAAAACCTAAAATCCTGAAACATATACATTTATGATGATGTTCTCTTTCATCTATTTATAGATGTGAAAATGTCATCCAATGGCAATTCTAAATCTTTAAAGTTTTCTGGACCTTTTGAAAGAAAAGACACTAATTTTACTTTTATGGATTTCACTTGACTCTGTTCTCTTATCATAACATTTAAAAATAAAAGTGCTTAATATACTTTAAATAGTTGAAGTTTTGGCTGTTTCACTGACACCAGAGGCAAAAACTAAATCTTCTGTACTACATGTATTTCATTTTTTGCCACTTTGGTCTCATAAAATAAAATTGTTCAGTGACTGCCTAACCAGTTTTTATTATAGCAGATTTTATTTAAACTAGTGAGTGCTTCTATTGAGTCTTATGGTCTACTGTAATTGCCTTAGTTGTTTTTTTCTTAATAAGTTAAATTGGTAACATAATATAACCAAAGAGTGATAAAATCCTACTAACCTTACTGTAATACTGAATTTGCCCCTTGGCTTATAATTATTGAGTGATACCCAGTGGATTTTGTGACTGAAATAAAAAAAAATATCTTTCGTGTAGTTTTCTAATGAAATCTAAGGCATAGTATCTAGTGATGATTTTATACCAAGAACCTAAGGTAATTTCAATACTTCATTTATAATGTAAATTTGGACAGGGTGAATAATGAAACACATTTTCCCTCCTAAAGAGTAGTCATAATTAGTTTTCCTATATATGTTGATACTTGATCTCTTTGTATAGTTGTATAAGAGCCTGACCCATGGCATTTTCTTTATCACTGTGCTAGGTAAACAGAGGGACCAATACAGTCTTACAAAATAATGTCGTGGCTGGATTTGGAAGGGTGGGATACCGTATCGATGGTGAACCTTGCTCAAGTAAGTCTTTTGGCACAGAGCCACTAAAACTAGGAAATACCGTGTTCAAATTGGTTAGAAAGAAATAATTATTGTCTGTTAGTTCAATATATAGTATCTCCTCCTCCAGGACACTAAAAGAAGTCAACAAGCTAAATTATTTGAAGATACCATTGGGTCTAAAGAAAAAAGGAATAGACTTTTAAGGATAATTACTTTTCCATGTTTATGATTGAAAAACTCCAGCAGTCACTTCAATTCTTGATGTGGCTGGTGTTGGACCAGTGAGTGCCTCATCCCACTACTACTTTCACAAAAGTAACACTTTCAAGCATAGAGATACATATCTCTAGGGATATGACACTGTTTCATGCTTCTTCTTTAGAGGAATTAATGTTCACTCTTCCTGTGTTTAAACCTACAAGCATGAAAAAGTCAAAGGGCATAAACAGTTCTCGGATACATTTCTATTAGATGAGTAAAAGTCCAAAATTAACCAAACAACTACTCTTTTGGCAAGGCTGTAGGAAAGCTAGGACATCTACACATTGCTGGTTGAATGACAAATATAACCAACTCCTATAAAGGGGACCAGGGCAATAGCTGCCAAAATTATTGGAGCATTTGCCTTTGGCTCAACATTTCTGCTTCTGGCAATCTAACATTTGCCTCTACAACACTTAGAAAATGATTTGTGAACAAGGTGATTCATCACAGCATTGTCTGCTAGCAGGAAACTGGACCCTGCCTTGTGTACAATAACAGTGGACTAGTTTTATAAAGCCAGACATTGGAACACTAGGGACCTCTCAAAAAGAAGGAAGAAGATACATCTTGATCTACTGATATGGAGAGAGAAATCCCCAAAGATATTCTTAAGTGATAAATGGAGATTGCAGAACAATATATATACAATATGGTTTTGTTTGTGATATGCTTTATGGAAGAAAGGTAAGAAAATATGAATATGTAGGGTATTTGTGTTTAAAGAGACACAAAGTGTGAAAACAAACAAACAAACAAAAAACAAGGTGAGTAGGATCAGGGTGACTGGTGACTTATTATTGTATAATTTTTTATAACCTTTTGGTTTTTCACTTAGTTAAATGAATTATCAGATCAAAATAAAATAAATACTAGAATTTCAGGGTTCACCTCTTAAGAAACTTAGGGGAAATGGGACTTTCTCTGAATACTTTATATCCCCTGTACATCTGGTTTTTATATCTCAGTATGGTTGTTTTTAAGATTGTTTGAGTCAGTATTTTTTCTGTAAATTCAAAAATTATTGGGCTTAAGCTAATATTATTCTTATGCAAAATACATTTTGAAGGAATAAAACAACTTCCAACAAATTCCTTATTATATGCTCTTATTATATATTTTAATTCCCAACAACTTAAAGGTTTTCTTTGACTAAAATTTTACAATATGTAGTTCTTCTGCAACTTCTTTGAAGTAGTCCTGGATTTTTTTAAGTCAAAATATGACCTGTGAATATGAACATTTACTAATATGTGTGTTTCACCAACTAATTAAATATTTATGAATATTTAATTAGTGATATTCCTAAATAATTGAGAGTGTTTACAAGGAAGTTTGGGATTTAGGGAAATTGAAATAGGAGACATCACTGAGGAATTGAGGATTTATGTTCATGGAATGGGACACCAACCTATCCAGTCCACCTCCCAGGCAAGTAGGAGGCTGGCACCAAGAGGCCCACAGTGAGAGGCCAGGAGGTGGGGAGGGGAACCCTTACCCACACTGGGTCCCAGGGGCAACACTGCGTGGGACCAAGGGAGAGACATGTGAACAGCTTCTTATGGAGAAAACAAAACAGAATCCAGGCAGTTGATAAGTAAAATGTCAATCCCAAAGCATTAGGAGGAAAGGAAAGTCAATAGAAGATAGGAGGAAGTCAAACACCAGGAGATTTGGACAAGAGAACTGGTACTAAGTAAAGTTCAGGAGGTGATGCTGCTGTATATAGGGCATCCTTCAATGTATGTATGCATGGTTGGGAGGGAGTTATTAAGGTTGCTGATCTGATTTGGACATAAATAAAGTTTCATAAATATCCACCTCAATTATCCTATATATTTAAAACAAATTTTTTTAATGTTTGTTTATTTTTTTTTCAACGTTTATTTTTTTTGGGGGGGGGGGACAGAGAGAGAACAGAAACATGAACGGAGGGCAAAAGAGAGGAGACACAGAATCGAAACTTGGCTCCAGGCTCTGAGCGATCAGCCCAGAAACCCCCGTGATGCTGGCTCAACTACTCACGGACACAGAATCGATGACCTGGTGAGTCGGACGCTACCTCTCTGGCTCCACCAAGCGCTAATCGTTTGTTTATTTTTGAGAGAGAAATAGAGCACAAGCCGGGGAGGGGCAGGGAGAGAGGGAGACACAGAATCCAAAACAGTGTCCAGGCTCTGGAGTGTCAACTGGAAACCCAGGTGGAGACTCAAACCCATGAACTGTGAGCTCATGACCTGAGCCAAAGTCAGACACTCGACCGACAGAGCCACCCAGGTGCCCCATAATTATCTTATATATTAATAATGAGTATAGCGTCCGTTTATTGAGGCACTTTATGTGGGTTATTTAATTTCAGTTTGAAACTACTCTCAATTAGGCATTAAAACATGTTTTTTAAGTTCATTTATTTATTTGGAGAAAGAAGAGGCAGAGAGAAAGAGAGAGAATCCCAAGTAGGCTCTGCACTATTGGTTCAGAGTCCAACGTGGGGCTTAATCTCACAAACCATGAGATCATGGCCTGAATCAAAATCAGGAGTCAGATGAACACTCAACTGACTGAGCCACCCAGGTGCCCCCAAAGTTTTTATATATGAAGAAACTGAGGTTCTAAAAGGTTAAACAATGTTTCCAAGGTCATACATACATTAATTCAACAGGTAGTTAAATAAGCACCTATCTCTGCATTACCCTCTAGACTCTGGGAATACAGTGATCAATGAGGTAGACAGACACAGTGTATTCTCTCATGAAGCTTACATTCTAATAGGACAGAGGAGATGGACAATTCATGAATAAGTAATAATAAAATAATTTTAATTGCCATGTGGAGAAACCGAGGTGCTACTTTGAATCAGATAGTCAAGAGAAAGCCTTCTAAGAAGTGACACTTAACTTGAAAATGGGGTGACCGGAAGGAACCAGCAACAAAAAGGTGTGTAGGGGAAGCATTTTATAAACAGCAAGTGGTATCACTTGTGTTTCAAAATTAGCCTTCTTTGAATCCAAACTTCATGTACTTTCTCATGAAATTCCTGTTTGGTTTAGTCAGATATAGTAAATTCAGTGTGCTAGCAACTAAACCAAACTTTTGCAAATGAGTATTCAATCGTTCTACTGGGAAAGGGACAAATTAAATAAGATTAAATACTGAGTAGAGTAAGCCATAAATGGCCAAGCCATAAAAATATTTGATCATCATGTTTAAATTTGCATAAGAATTATGTATAGTAAAACCTTGGTTTGCAAGCATAATTCATTCCAGAAACATGCTTGTAATCCAAAGCACCTGTATATCAAAGCAAATTTCAAGAACCATGGGCTAAGTCGTAATCACGTGACATTTGGCATCACGTACTACTCATATTGCAAAACATCACTCATTTATCAAGTTAAAATTTATTAGAAATGTTTACAGAACACTTGCAGAACACTTGCAGAACAAGTTAATCGCAATCCAGGGTTTTATTGTATTTAATTTTTTAAAAATTTAACTTTAACCTGTACTGTTCATAGAGCTCTAGGACATGACTTATAATATTCTCTGTTTTCATATTTCCTTCCAAGTTCAGTCTAATCCCATGGAAAAGTGGTTTGACAATGAAGCACATGGAGGTTTATATGGTATTTATATGAACCAAGACGGCCTTCCTGGATGTTCTCTTATACGAGGATTTACCATTTGGACATGCTGGGATTATGGAATTTATTTTCAGGTAAATGTGATCCAATATGGTGCTTGTTTATCTTGTTTTATGATTGTATTTTGTGCTATGTGACCTACAAGTTGTTTTACAGACCACAGAGAGTATGCATATCTATAATGTGACTCTGGTTGACAATGGAATGGCCATTTTTTCAATGATTTACACACCAGCTGCTGTATCTCACAAAATTTCCAGTAAAACAGTGCAAATTAAGGTAAGAAATGAATACAGCCACAATAAGAAGAAAAGGTGAACATTTTGAAGTTCCAATAAGAACAATCTCCTTGATGGGGCACCTGGGTGGCTCAGTTGGTTAAGCATCTGACTTTGGCTCAGGTTATGATCTCATGGTTTGTGGGTTCAAGCCCCATGTTGGCCTCTGCACTGAGCTCAGAGCCTGGAGCTTGCTTCAGATTCTATGTCTCTCTCTATCTCTCTGTCCCTCCCCCATTCACAGACACTCTCTCTCTCTCAAAAATAAATAAATGTTAAAAAAAATTTTTTTTTAAAGAATGATCTCTATGACTTCATAGCTTGGCTAGTCCAAACATCCTCCCCTTGTTCTCATTGTCTTCTGCCAGGAAATGCTGTATCCTTCCCTCTCCTCCATATTCTCCTCACCCCTTCTTGCTTGCCACCTGCTAATATTGCCACAGTTAAATTTTCATTTCCTTTGTGAAACCTTTCCTGAATTTGCTTAGATAGTATTGACACTTTCTCCTCTTTTTGTTTCTACTTTTTCCCTGGGCATACTTTTGTCATAGAAATATGTCATTATATATAACAATTTACCTGCCTGTCTTCCCCCTTCCAATTTGACTGTAATTCTATTCAGGGCATAAAATCACATCCTTTCATCTTGGTTTTATGAATAATCCATTCCTCAAACTGAAAGGCTGTGTTTTGCTACAGTGGAATTTAGAATTACCCATTATAATGTTTTTATTGAGGAAAAGCTATTATTTAAGCTGTACTGTTTGAATTTTTTTAATAGAGCTCATTAATTGTTGGAAGTAGCCCTGGATTTAATTGCTCTGATGTCCTAACTAACGATGATCCAAATATCGAACTTTCTGCTGCCCATCGGAGCACCAGACCTCCATCAGGTGAAAATTTTAGAAATTTAATTTTGGTGTTCATATGAATGCATATTTGAATTTTATTAACTTTCTTTCTTTTATAACAGGTGGGAGAAGTGGGATTTGCTGGCCTACCTTTGCTTCAGCACATAACATGGCACCCCGGAAGCCCCATGCAGGGATCATGAGTTACAATGCCATTAGTGGCCTTTTGGATATCTCAGGCAAGTTTAAACATAGTCTTGAAAAATCTACTTAATCAAATTCTATAAAGAATATGTAGAATATATCTCTTAATGTTTCACTGTAAGTAAAAAAAAAATAATGATTTAAGTAAACATATATGAATCTGCTCAGTATGAGAAGCAAAGAAATCAGATTATCAGTCAATTTGAAGAATGGTCCCCTGCCAAATTTGTATATGTTAAAGAAGTCCCATTTATTTTACCTTCTAAAACAACAGAAATAACACTGGTATAGTGATTTAACATTAATTAGTTTCTATCAATTACAAAAGCCCTTTTATGTAAGTAGGGTTATATATTATTATCTCTCTTTAGAACTGAAGAAATTTAAGCTTATAAAACCTAAGAGCATAGTAACATCTACTGGCTATATTATTCTGTTCACTTATTTCTTCAGTGCTTCTTCCATAGTTGATACTGCTTTGTGATCATTTATATGCTTACTCCCATTGACCCATACCCTTGTTTTTCCCTCAGGCTTCCTTTTACCCAATCATCCAGTCTTATTCCTTTCAGGCCCCTAACTAGCTGTGTCATTTACCACTGCCTGTAGTCCATGTTTATCCTTACCTCAGACCACTCCACTCTTCACACGAAGTGGATCACCCTGTGTACTACCCAAATTTCTATCCCATAGCAGAATCCACCCACACCATACTCTTTCAAGGCCATCCCCAGTTTGAGCTGAAATGCACAGGCATTATATAATAGAGTGATTCCAATATTGCCCATTGCTCAGAATCTTTTGAATCCTTCTTCTACAGTCTGACATGACAATTCTTACAATTCTACTTCATTTAAGGTGGAACATTATTTTTCCCAAATTTGGAAAAGCCATGGCAGCAACATGAGAGAATACCCTCATCCATATTGACACTCTCCCTTGTCTAGCTTTATATTCTTTACCCCTGATCTAACACCATCACAGTTTACTCTCCAATATATACTTCTAATTCCTGCCAGTACATGTTACTCAGCTTTTGCAGTTCCTTTGGTATATAACTCCTCTCATCCCATAGTATGCTTAGTGCTTCCCCAGTGAGGCCATGTTGAGACTTGACCAGGCTTACTGCTCTGTTTTCTAGAAGGGGAGGCAGAGACAGGTCCTGAAAAAGGCAAGATTTTCCTTATAAACAACTACCTCTTTTGAAGTCTTGTCAGGATTTCAAACAAGTAGGGCAGGGCAGCTAAACTCTAATAAGGAAGAAGTGGACCACTTACACAGTTCTGGACATTCAAGGGGAACCCAGAGTTTCAAGGTTCAAGTTCATCTTCTTCTATATTCCCATCCTAACTCAGGGTTCCATTTCTTTTCTATTAGAGCCATGACTTTGAAATAGGAGACTTGCCAGTCTGAAATTCCACCTTCTAGGAACGTTCTGCTGGTTTTGTGATTAGATCCTGAGGTTTGCTTTGAATTTGTGATTGATCACCACAACTTACATTTTCTTTCTTCAAAGCATCAGTGAGGGTCAACAGTTGACTACTTCTAGTTTCCTTGTAATTATTATTTCCCCTCTTCCATTCAAATGCCAAAGTTACTGTACAAGCCAGAGCAATTCTTTCCACTTAGATATTATCCCAGTTCACCACAGGTGAAATCTTAACAATTGCACTGTTACAGCATTCCAGAGACTGTCAATACTACACCTACCACCAGTAAGAGTGTCCTCATTCCCATCTAGACAGCAAGTGAACTAGATTCATCATTGCATCATTACACTATTTATCCCAGGACCACTTATGGTTCCAGCTGTCTAAATCAGGTGGTCTAAAAGTAAAGCCAGAGATAGGATTCTTGTGCAGGTGGTTTATTAATGATGCACATTCACAAGAAAGGGAGTGAGGGAAGTAGGACAGGGCAGAGGAAGGAGTAAGCAAGGATATGGTCCCAGCTGGAGTCTAGCTCCTTCTTGAAACCTCGCAGGGCTGTGCAGTGTGAGCTGTACCACTTAGTTTCCCCCTCTTGAGGCAAGGGAGCCTTCTGTATCACTTGCCAATCAGGCATGGTAACCTTTTGGTGGTGGTGCTAGGAGTGCATAATCTCTTAAGAGACAGAGCTGTCATTTGATCTGATCAAAGGCAATTCTCCAGAGAAGGGGGCAGCTGTGAGTAGTTAGCAGCCAACACAGGAACTAAGGGGCAGTGCACTGGGCCAGGAAGGCAGATCTATACATCTTACAAACAGTATCCACTACTTTGGTATTTCATTAATATTCATCTACAGGCTCATATTCATGTATATACAATATCATCTTAGAAAAAAGTATCAGGAAGAGTAGTAGATGGCACGTAACTGATTTAAGAATTCTGGAGTCACCTTTTTTTTTTCCTTCTATTTTTGAGTTATTGGATTTTAAGTACAATGGAGATTAAGTTTTGGATTCAATAAATGTTATCTTCTGGTCACACAATATATGAAATAAGGCAAAAAAAAAACAAACCCAAAAAACAATGTGTCCGTTAGTCTTTGCTGCATAACAAATTACCACCCAAATTTAGAGTCTTTAAACAACCATTTATTAGCTCATAATTCTGTGGATTGGCAGTTTGGGCTCTGTTCAGCTGATAGTTGTCTGCTGGTCTCATCTCGGATTATTCCATAGGCTGCCAGCAGTTTACAGGATGGATAGGGAGTAGTTGTCTAGGACAGTCTCACTTCCATGTCTGGTGGTTGGTGCTTGCTAATGGTTGGGCTGGTCTTTGACCAGAGTAATTGGGCCACATTTCTCCTAGTCTCATTCACATTCTGGAAATCACAAGATTCCCCAAGAACACCAAAAGAGAGCGAGCCCTAATACACAAGACTTTTCAGATCTACTTATATCACAGTTGCGCTTGTCCCATTAGTCACAGCAAATCACATATCAAAGCTCAGAGAAAATATGAGAGGACTATTCAATGGTATTGATATAGGGAGGCAACAATCTAACATAACTAGTGGTGGACTAGCTACCACATAAGGAAAGAGCTCCCTGTTCAAGGCGGTGTTAAATGATGCGTTTGCTGGAATGTACATGAAATGAAACTGATTCTATTACTTTCTTCATAGAAAATTATTTATTATTTTTTGTCATTTATGTTTTAGGTTCAACATTTGTTGGATTTAAGAATGTTTGTTCAGGTGAAACTAATGTGATATTCATTACTAACCCTTTAAATGAAGATTTACAGCATCCCATCCATGTGAAGAACATACAGCTGGTTGATACCACTGAACAATCAAAAATATTCATACACAGGCCTGATATAAGGTATAATATATGAAATCCCAGTTTTTTTCTTTCCTGTATTTATAGCTTTGCCTTGTCTTTTTCCCCCATCATAGATCTGAGAAAGTTGCTATATTAAAGTAAATATTAATTTCTATAAAATTTTAATCAGCATCATGAAAATTAAGGCTAATGCATCTGTATTTTCAGTTAAATTGAAAAAGTAGGCTTTGATGTGTATGTTTTCTCACTCTGTTTTTTCCATGCATGATAATACCATCATTCAACATAAAATATTGAGACCAGGTTAGGAGCGTGTTGTACATTAATTAATATCTCTCCATAAATAATCATTAGGAATGAGAGACATCTCTATCATTTCTTCCCTTTTCCTTACCTCTTTTGTTTCCTGTTGCTTTCCATATATCTTATCATGTTCACTCCATCATGCACTTTGAAATTAAATGTCAGTCATTATAATCACTGTGACTGAGAATATGCAAAAACTTAGCACAGTGACTTTTTAATCACAAAAGTCAGTGTCAGACTATTTCTAGAAGCTGAGCCACTTAGATTCTAAATCTTAAAAGAAGATAGCCAATAACTGCTACACTTTGTAGGAGATGCAAATCAGGAATTTAGATGTAAGACAAGATTGGAGGAAAGAAATATTTTATGAGAGATCTTTGACCATTTTCAGTATAGGAAGAAGACAAGGAATACTGCTAATTAGATAGACATCTCTTCAGAGAAATGCAGTGTTTCATAAATAGTTTGACTTCATCTGATTTTGTGGGTTTTTTTTTAATTTTTAATTTTATTTTAGAGAGAACACACGATCGCTTCTTGGCCTTTTGGCTAAGATCAAGTGTAGAGAGAACACACGAGTTGGGGAGAGGGGCAGAGGGGGAGAGAGAATCTTAAGCACTTAATCTTAATTTCCATGCTGAGTGTGGAGCCTGACACAGGGCTTGATTCCACAACACTTTCATGACCTGAGCTGAAATCAAGAGTCAGATGCTCCAAAGACTGAGCCACCCAGGTGCTTATCATCTAATTTTGTTTTGATGATAACTGCACACCTCTTCATTTAACAATTAATTATTGAACCGTAGTATTTTTTGGCTCAATAGAGCCTCCCCCCACTAGAAGATTATTAGCTCCTGTTTAGTTATCATTGAATCTTTCAGATGCAATATATAATTTTAATAACTAGGTCATGAAGAAAATACATTTTAAAATAGTCTTTGAGCTCTGTGCTTTTATTAGGATGCTATTGATGTTCTCTCAGATCCCCTTTACAAGGCCCCTAGTGCTTTAAATGTTGGCCAATAATAACCTACAGTTGCCCACTTTTCCAGAAAATTGCTGTTAGCCGAACAGGAATAGCCTTGGGGGGCTAAAACCCTCCCTAACACCACCTCTTTGCAATCCATGGAAAATGACTAGTTGATACAGGAGTTCAAAAGGGCAGCCTCCTTATCTCCAGGTGGAAGCAACTCTCAGTACAGTTAATGATCCAGAGGTACCCCTGAGATAAGATTGAAACTAGTCCACAGACCACAGTTACCTTGTTTTCTTTCCCTTGCCCTATGTGGCTTCTCTCCTTCTTTTTTGATGGTACTCCTTCAATAAATCATTTGAACAAAAATCTACATTTCAGCCTCTGTTTCTTTGCAATATGAAGTAAAGACAGAGCCCTAATCCATAATATAAGTGTGCCACTGGGTACTCTTCCCACAGACTGGCTCACAAAAGCACTCTTCTCATACTTGAATACAGAGAACACATGAACTATGTATTCAAGTCATCTCCAAAACTGTTATAGTATAGTAACTTACCCCACATGTCCCCCTTACAGCAAAAAGGGAGCAAGATGCTAAACACTATCTAATAGATCTGAGCTTTCCATTATTATTTTGTTGTTATAACTCTGGAATAAGATGTATTTCCCCATACTATGTAGCACGACATAGTGTAACTACACAATATACCATGTATACTATGCAATGTGCAGTATTTTGCAAATTAAGCTCCTATTTTACTATTAGAAGCAGCTAACAATCAACACTCCAGGTAGCTCAAGTTGAAGGCAGAATGCCATGTATGGTTGAACTGCATAATGAATGACTTTATAGTATTTCATCTCTTACAGTTTGGGTATTTACATAATGGTTACTGAAATATATAGCATAACAATTATAATCCAAGTATATCTGTTTCTATCTACATAAATAAAAGTCTATAGGAATATATACTAATCTGCAGTTGGTAATGGCCTAAGAGCCTGAGATAGGAAAGTGAAGGAGACTGAACTTTTATTAAGTATTTGCATTATTTTATACTAAGCATAGGATACTTATAAATGTTAAAGACCCATGGAAAAAAAGTAGGAAGGGAAAAATAATAAAGACTTCCCTGCCAGCACAGGGATTTTGTATGTCCTGCACAACAGAGTAACTGTTCACCTGCTTGATGGGACAGTGTTAGTACACTGTGAGCAATGTAGAAAGATGAAATCTTCCCAACAAAATATGGAATAGCAAAATGGAATTCTAATTTTATATCCTACAGGTATAACTTGTACTTTTGAAATTCCAATGAATTAATAATAATACCAACAGAATGGAAAAGCAGACCTCATTACAATACTAATTATATATGCTACTTGGTCCTACTTTGAATCCTTTCTGAAATGATAAGATTCAATCAATCAAAAATTCTTTTGGATACTCTTTTTAAATTTTATTTATTTTTGAGAGAGACAGAGACAGAATGCAAGTAGGTTAGGGGAGAGAGAGAGGGAGACACAGAAGCCGAAGCAGGCCCCAGGCTCTGAAATGTCAGCATAGAGCCCCACACGGGGCTCAAACTAACGAGCTGTGAGATCATGACCTGAGCCAAAGTCGGACGCTCAACCAACTGAGCCACCCAGGCACTCCTGGATACTCTCTTATCAAACACTCAATTGAGTGTTCCCCTAGAAACAGGGGAAGGATACTTAATCTAAATATTCATTTGTTTCACTTTTTCTCCACAGTAAGGTGAATCCATCTGATTGTGTAGACATGGTTTGTGATGCCAAAAGGAAATCTTTTCTCAGAGACATGGATGGCTCCTTTCTGGGAAATTCTGGTTCAGTGATGCCTCAAGCAGAATACGAATGGAATGGAAATAGTCAATTTGGAATTGGAGACTACAGAATTCCTAAGGTGATGCTCACATTCCCAAATGGAAGTAGAATTCCTGTCACTGAGAAAGCGCCTTACAAAGGTTCGTTGGATATTATTCTGTTAGTCCTCAAGTTTGTGAAACAAAGTACATATATTTTTATGTTTACTAATTGGGGTACTCAATCAATAACATATTTTCTACTTACTAATCTTACATAAATGAAAAATATAGTCCATTGATGCTTTTGCAAAGAGATTGCTTTTTCTTGCTAAAATGTATATATCTGTTTTTCTAGGAATTATTAGAGATTCAACCTGTAAATACATCCCACAATGGCAGGGCTATCGGTGCTATGGGATGGAATATGCAATGATGGTTATTGAAAGCCTGGATTCTGACACAGAAACTCGAAGACTCTCACCAGTGGCTGTAGTGAGCAATGGTTATGTTGATCTCATTAATGGTAGGTATTCAGTGTAAACAAATTAGAGTTACTCAAACATTTGCTATTTATTACATGCATGGAGACATCACATATAAAACTAGCAAACGGGCGCCTGGGTGGCGCAGTCGGTTAAGCGTCCGACTTCAGCCAGGTCACGATCTCGCGGTCCGTGAGTTCGAGCCCCGCATCGGGCTCTGGGCTGATGGCTCGGAGCCTGGAGCCTGTTTCTGATTCTGTGTCTCCCTCTCTCCCTGCCCCTCCCCTGTTCATGCTCTGTCTCTCTCTGTCCCCAAATAAATAAGTAAATAAATAAATAAATAAATAAATAAATACGTTGAAAAAAAAATAAAAAAAAAAAAACTAGCAAACATCAGGATTGCTTTACTTTCTGTTTGTAAGAAAAGATATGTGTGCAGGAGAGATGCTTGACACCTAAACAGTTTCCCATATTAGAAAGCAAGGACAGTTATTGCAAACTGACCATCAGAAGAAGAGGAAAGTTATTCCTTGAGTGATCTTCATACCTGTATTAATAAGGTGGCATAAATATTTGAAGGAAAAATTGGCCTGTCTCCAAAAAGACATTTTGCCTTACATAAATTAAAAAACAGACAGTGTGAAAAAACAACAACAACAACAACAACAGATAATGTGTTATTTGGAATACTTGAGAACAGGTATTTCCAGCCCACTTGTTTTTCATTTTCATGAATCTTTATAAGGCTTAATCTTGAAACAATGTGTTTTGGGGTTTTTTTTCTTTTCTTAATTCCTTTGACTGTCAAGAATATCTTGACAAGCTCCAGAGTTTAGGCTCCTTACATTCTGGTCGTGGGTGGCTCTAGTACAGAGGGACGGCAGTGGCCTCCATAAGAATTCAGATCAACTCAGAAGTCCAGGACTTTTTGAAAACCCAAGATGAACTTCTAACATCTGCAGAAAACAGAGGGCAGAAACTCATTGTATTACCCTGAAATAGTCAGGGGCCCAAAGATTAGTCCCTAAGAAGGCTTAAGAGTCTTTTAAGTGCCGAAATGGCCTGTAACCTGCCTGAGAAAGATTTCTGTGCCCTGGCAGTGTCAAAACATGTACTGAAATATCCCACGATTCAACAAAGTGGCCAGTATGCCACAAAAATACTCATTTTTTAAAATGAGTCGAAGAGAATACAATGAGCTAAATCAGGGGTGTCCCAAAGTTACATGATTTCAAGTCTTTCCCCACTTCCGTGGCACCAACAATTTGCCTGGTTTCTCTGGCCTGCAATCAACCCAGTTACAAGTGTTGCCTTTAAACAAAGCAGAGAGCTTGTGGAAAGAATTTTAGACCAGTCAGTGAATAATGGAGATGTTTTCTAATTACTCTTTTTAAATGGTGGAGAAAGATTTTATTCTATTTATTTTTACATTTTTCTTTTCTGAAAGACAATACAAGCTTTCTACTTACAATAGTGACATGACATTTCTCTTAAAAATAAATTTAAATTTTCATTAAAAAAATTTTTTTTAATGTCAATTTACTTTTGAGTGGGGGAGGGGCCGAGAGAGAGAGGAAGACACAGAATCCGAAACAGGTTCCAAGCTCCAAGCTGACAGCACAGATGCGTCACATAATGTGGGGCTCGAACCCATAAACCGTGAGATCATGATCTGAGCTGAAGTAGGACGCATAACCGACTGAGCATCCTAGACACCCCAAAAATAAATTTAAATTTTTAAAAGTGACTGTCAATTTGAAGAAGTCTTAATTGATAGTAACATTGCAAAAATTATGATGATATTGAAAGAATCACGGAATCATGAGATACACTACATTAGATTGGAAAAAAATTTTCTAAAGATAAAAGTTATTGAATACCACTAAAGTTTCCTTTAAAATTTTAATACTCAATTTCATCTATTTTTAAAATATGGCTTTTGCTACTCTAAATTTTTCATTTAATACATAGAAATTTCTTTCTGTTTGTTTTCAAAACCCACAAAGAAGGTTTGTTTAAAAGTAGAATTTATATTTTGGATGCTAAGAGAAAGTTCATATTCTACATGAGATTCAGAAGTTTATACTGATTCAAAATTTGATTGAAGTTCAGTTATAAATATTGATTAGAATTCCAAGTAAGCCAGGAAATTGAGCAAAGCTATTGAATAAATACATCAAGAAAATTTATCATTCCGTATCTCACTCAACGTTTTATAACCCAGCTGAAGTGAAATAGTTTGCTACAAAGGTCATATTATGCCTGTTCTGGAAATGTCTGGATTCCACTGTCTTTTGGCTTTCTAGAAGGATTATTGAAGTATTATTTCTCAGATCATTAATGATGTTGACCCCCCAATGGTGCTTATAATACCAGTCGTTAATAAAAAATGTATTAAAATAACAATGCAGGAAGATTAAAGACTTCATAAAAAACATACTTAAGAGTGTGTCAAATGCACAAATTAACTGATGAAGATGAGTGACTGAAGGAAAAAGTTAATGAATCCATGGGTTAGGCGGGTTTCCAGGTACAAGCTCTGTTTTTAACAAATTAATGGTTAACAGCATATTTCTCACTAAAGAGGCTCCCCACCTGAATTCACATTTAATAAGTAGGAGAAAAGATCAAGCACTTTCTTACCATGTGGCCTTGGCTTTAATATGATTATTAAAGTAGAGATTCATAGAAACCTCTTTCCTTCAATGACCTTCCAGTGCAAACTCAACACACTAACTTACCTTTTTTCACCCTGTGCAGTATAAAAGTATGAGTAGTAGGGAGAAGTGGCTTCCCTGCCTTCCTTTTTTTTTTTTTTTTTTTTTTTTTTTTTTAATTTTAATGTTTATTTTTGAGAGAGAGAGAGAGAGACAGAGCATGAGCAGGGGAGGGGCAGAGAGAAAGGGAGACACAGAATCTGAAGCAGGCTCCAGGCTCTGAGCTGTCATCATGAGATCCATGAGAGCGTGACCGGAGCTGAAGTCAGAGGCTTAACTGACTGAGCCACCCATGCGCCCCTCTTGCCTTCCTTTTTTTAAGCTAAGGTTTGAGAAATGGCTTAGATCACTGGATAGATGGGTGGATGGATAATGGATGTAAATGCTGAACCTGACCACTGCAATTTGTTTTTAATACAATTAGTCTTCAGACTTTGCACTAAATATATTCATAATATGGAACATGAACGTTTACTTATGTGGCTTTAGGCCCACAGGATCATGGCTGGTGTGCCGGATACACATGCCAGAGAAGACTGTCCCTGTTTCATAGCATTGTGGCTCTGAACAAATCTTATGAAGTTTACTTCACTGGCACCAGTCCTCAGAATCTTCGACTGATGTTGCTTAATGTTGACCATAAAAAGGTAACACGAGATAGAAATAATTTCTTGAGTTATTGGTGTTGCTTATTGACATACATTTCTATATGCTAAGGACTTTCTGTCCTCCCCTGTTCTCTTGAACATTGTCAGACCTACAGCTCATTTTCGAGGGTCATCAGCATACTACTAAAAATCCTGTCAATCCAGAAGGTTTCATCAGCCTGAGAGCATAGATGCATACCAAACACCCTTCCCCCATATACACTTGATTCTCTGCTCTACATCTGAGGCATGACAGTGAGGCCTACGATTTGTGTGATGGGCAAGCAAACCTGAAATTTCACATAAAAATAGTGCACATCCAGAATTGGTCACTGGAATTATATATTTATTTTTCCAGGCTGCTATTTATATATTTCAGAAATACACCTTTGGAATTTACCTGAGAGATCACAGCATGTTGTTTTAAATATCTTCAACCGTATCAAATCTTGGCTATAAACTGAATTCAGGTGGGATGATTACATTTATATATATACCATGTCAGTGGAAAAGAGTATGAGGTGAAGCAATAGTCTCATAGTTGAGATTTTCTTTTCTCAGAGTACAAGACTCGAACATCCCAAAGTATTAGGAATGTGAAGAAGGGATGTGGATAAGATAAAGCAGAGGAGTAACAAAGAGAGACACCTGCCTCTTCTCAGATGATACCAACCTCATCCTTTCAGTTGCTGGAGATAAAACCTTGGACCCATTCTTGATTCCTCTCTTTGGGTCATATTCCTCATGCAGTCCATCTGCAAGTCCTGTTGAGTCTCCCTTCAAAATATCCAGAATCCGTGACCACTTCTCACCACCATCACTGCTACCACCCACTTTGAGCCACCATTATTTCTTCCCTGGATTAAGGCAGTTGGCTCCCCACTCCTGCTGCTGCTCTGTCCCTGCCCGCTCTAGTGTCTGTACTCACCTCAGCAGCCACAGAGGTAAGAGGTACCTCCAAAATATAAGTCAGACCAGGTCACTCCTTGCCCCAAGCCCTGCAATAATTTCCCCATTGGGCTTTGTACAAGGGCCAGAGTCCTCTGACTTCTCCTCCAGCCACACTGGACTCCTAGGTGTTCCTGCTACCTACTACCACCTGGGCCTGTGTTCCAGATGTTGAGTCTGCCTGGAACATTCTACCCCAGTTGGCTAACTTCCCCTCTCTACAGACTCCCTCCAATCCCCCAATGGGCCTAGCCTGTTCACCCCTCCCCAGCTGGCTCTCCCAATTATCCATACTCTGATCTCCCTTTCCTTTTCACATAGCACATACTGCCTTCTAACATGCTTCATATTTTATTTTATTATTTCTACTGTTTATTTGTCTCTCTCCTCACACTAGAATGTAAGCTCAAAGAGGGCAGGGACTTTTGACAGCTCCTAGAATAGGGCCTGGCTTAGAAAGGCATTCAAGTTTTGAATGAAAGAGAGTATTTTTAATTTTTTTTTTAATTTTTTTTTTAACATTTATTTATTTTTGAGACAGAGAGAGACAGAGCATGAACGGGGGAGGGGCAGAGAGAGAGGGAGACACAGAATCAGAAGCAGGCTCCAGGCTCTGAGCCATCAGCCCAGAGCCCGATGCGGGGCTCGAACTCACGGACAGTGAGATCGTGACCTGAGCTGAAGTCGGACGCTCAACCAACTGAGCCACCCAGGCGCCCCTTTAATTTTAAAAGTAACTGCAAAGTAATGTGACTGTTAATGTTCTGAGATGTTGAGGATAATTTCAAAAGAAGATTCCCAAACTATGTATAGCTTATTATATTCCTTATTAATTTCTCCCTGCCCTTGTGAAAGCTAGTCTCCTTACTTTATGATTACATCTGATATTATGAGATGTGAAGAATATAAACATGGAAAATGAACAAAATTGAATCAGAGAGTATAGTTATGTTGACTAATTTTTTAGTCTTACTACCAAATTTGTCTCAGAGGTAAGCATTTTTTTCCAGCGTTAACTAAATTTGTTTGGTTGCATTATAGAGCACTGCTAAATTCCCTATATCCCCCTGCCCCTGGAGCTCAAAGCCTATATTGAACTTTTTTACCTTTGAAAGGAAATGTTTCTTTTGGAGATACTCCTTTACTAATTCTTTCTTACATTATACTTTTCTACTGAGAATCATCAATTAAGAGTTGAGCTATAATGTCAGTATGAATGGTTGAATATAAGACCATTTACAAATTTTAACTCAGTATTTATCATCAATTCATAAAACTTAGTTTTAGTATTTTACAGAAGATATATATAGTTGAAGGACATTTTAAGTGCTAAATTCTAAATATTGTTTCCTTATTTTCTTAAGAAATAAAAATGTTATTTATTTTTAACAGGCTGTCATGGTAGGAATTTTTTTTCACACACTTCAGCGTTTGGATGTCTATGTGAACAATATATTGGTTTGCCCCCGAAATACAATATGGAACCCTAAAAAGAAACACTGTGAACTTAAAAGACATCTGCACACAGGTATTTCCTCAGAAAAATAAAGTACTTAATTATGTATAAAATTCTTTGTAATGTCTCATTATTAATATTTCTAGTTCCTTAGCCATTGACAAATGAAAAGAGAAAATATTTTTTGCCACGGTCCACCAAATTCTAAGATGTATTTATTTATAGCATATGTGTCCTGAAAGATTATTCCTGATGGAACTCTTATCTATCTGTACACATGTGGATTTTGTGTATGAGGCACATTCGTTGGCCCCCCTGAGAACATTTACATTCTACATGTAGTTCAGTTAATCCTATATACAGAAGAGATTTTGCTTAGAATGTTTACCCTATTTCTGCTTTACTTCTATTTCATAGAGGTCAGAGCCAAAATTAATTGGCAGTCACCAGAAATATTGCCAAGAAAGCTAGTATAACATCAACCAAACACTATGAAGTCAATATAATAAACTGGATTTAAATGAAATATAGGGAAAAGGCTAAACGTCCATTTATCAGTATTTTCAAGGCCAGGATTTATATCTTCTCATTGAAGTCTTTTTGTTAAACAAGGTACTTATAAATCCAATCCCTTCCATTCCACATGTGCTACTTATCATTTTTAAATGTGCCCCATAATGTTGGTTAACAATTCCTCAAGTGCGTGCTGTAGGTCATAACATCACCTAGACTTCAGAGTATGAATGGATAACGCATATCTATTACTGTCTATGGAGCAAGTCCTATTTCTACTAATAGTCTGAATAGCTAATGTTTCCAGAAATGTTCCTGTGTGCCAGGCACTATTATAAGTGCTTTGTATATAATACCTCATTGTTAAATATTCTAATAATAATCCTGTGAGGTAGGCAGAGATGAGTAAACTGAGACAACAGGAGGTGTCTTTGCCACAGTCTCTGTCATAGCTCTGGCTGCCATAACAAAATGCCACGAACTGGGTGGCTTAAAGACAAATTCATTTTCTCTGAAGGCTGCAAGTATGAGGTCAGGGTGCCAGGAGGGTTAGGTTCTGGTGAAAGCTCTCCTTCTGGCTTGCAGATGGCTGCCTACTCACTGTATCTTCACAGCAACAGCAGACGTTGGGATCTCCTCTTATGAGGGCACTAATCCATCATGAAGTCTCCACCCTCATCTCAAGCTAATTACCCCATCTCCAAATTCCCTTACACTAGGGGTTAGGGCTCTAACATGTGAATCTGGGCAGGGGGTGGGGGGCACAGTTCAGTCCATGGTAATATCAGAGATGGTGAGGGCAGAGCAAGGACTTGAACACAGAGAGTCTAGCTCTAGAAGCCATGCACTTAACCATTAGGCCATATTGCCTCCTTGTAAGCTAAAAGAGTCTGTGTTATCACTTTCTATATGTAAACAGCTACTCATATTTGCAGCTTCATTTCATTATTTTTAACTCTTTTGAAAAACAACACTTTGGGTACCAAGTACTCTATCATTCAAGTTGGGGAAATAGAAATGATCTCAACAAGGACTATTTAATATAGGGAATTGATTATACAGGTGTTGAAGGGCTGAAAAACAGTATTACCACTGCCTTCTTACAAGATTTTTTTCTGATATAGCATTGTTTATAAATGAACATTTTTCCTTTGGCACTTAGAATGCAAAATAATTTCCATGTATTATGAATCTATACATATTGTTTTAGATTACCCAAAATGTTTCATTATGTATGTCTCTGCTTCCTTCCATTACTGTGAAGACATGAGGAACTTACCTGAGATAAATGGTGTATGCACCTCTAAATGTAGTTTGAGAGAAGTTTCAATTTATAATATAAAAGCATATTCTTCAGATTCATAGAATGTTTAAACCAAATTGCATCTAGAACTTACACTAGTAGCTCTGAAAGAGATACATAGTGATAATGAAGTGGCTTCTTAATACCAACTGCTATGAATGTCTATTACATTCATAAGAAATATCTTCTTCTTTCTAAAACTTTAATTTATTTTTTTATTAAGCCTCACTATGAATGTGGTAAGAAGCTACATGTCTCATTCTAGTACTATTATATAATTCCTTTGGGCTCTGTTAGTGGATTTATTAGCTTAGACAGTTTTGACACTCTGCCATAAATATATATATATATATATATATATATATATATATATATATATATATATATATATATATATACACACACATATACATAAACACATATGTATATGTATATATATATACATATATATATATATATATTCACTCATTTTATATATATAAAAATCTCAGTCACTTTTCCAAAAGTCATTTCCGAAGTAGAATTTGTTTTGCATTAAGCAAAGATTTTTCAGGCTGAAATGTAAACCTGTTTCATTGGTATAAAATCCTTCTGAGATATTTTTGTATATACTTCATTTGTATTATATACTTTTGTCCTTAGTAAAAATAGAAGCACTGAGTTGTAAAAGCTCCTTAAGAGTTGATATATAGCACTGCATAAACTAGATAGCTATTAAAGTTAAATTTACATTTTTAAATTACCAAATGCCTTCTGTAAAGCCTTTAAAATTCTGAACATGCAAATAGTGTTCCAGGTACAATATAGGCTCTTGGGTTCATAATTGAATTTTATTTCTCAATTATACTGTATCTATGGCTAATTGTTTTTAAAATAAATTTAATGTATAATGATGATTAACGGTATTGTTTAAAGTGTTGACTTTAACTTTGCATGTCAGTTCTAGAAGTGTTTTTTTAAAGGTGTTACTGTTTTAATATGCATACTTTCCTATGGAAGAATAATGTTGAACTTTTTCAGAATTTCCTAAATTTAACAAATATTAAATACTACTAAATATATGGTTATTATGATAATATAAAGATTTTTACTGTGCTGTTTTGGCTTTTTTCCTTCATAGAGCAATTCCTTCCTAACCTGAATTCCACTGTCCTTGGTGAAAACTACTTTGATAGAACCTACCAGATGCTTTACCTTTTGGTTAAAGGAACTATACCGGTTGAAATCCACACCACCGCGGTCATATTTGTTTCTTTCCAATTGCCTGCTGTTACAGAAGATGACTTCTATAGCTCTCATAACCTGGTTAGAAATCTTGCCTTGTTCCTGAAGATACCAAGTGACAAAATCCGCGTCAGCAAAATAATACAAGGGAAGAGTCTGCGGAGGAAGAGATCCACGGGACTCACAGTTGAATTGGAGATTGGAGATGCTCCTCCTCAGTTCATAAACAATGATACCACAGGTATGAAGAGTAGGTGTTTGAGAGAGAAGAATGTAATACTAGACCCACGATGATCCTACCAGGGCCTGCCCTCAGGAAATCCCACCAACCCCACATCCTGAACCCTGTGAGGGCCTAGAGACCCTTTTCCTACTCTACCCCTGTAATCCCAAACTGTTTTGGAATTATGAAGGAACTATAGCCTCTATTTTGTTATTGTAGCAATTAGTAAATTCAACAAAAGGATTTGAGCTAACACAGAAGATTTGAGAGGTGACATAAGGAAGTGACTTTATAGCTGAGAGATTAAGCATAAAAAGAATCAGTCTATGAAAAGAGAAAGGTAAGAATGTTCAAGTGTAAGGAAATGGGAAACCAAAAGAAGCTCTCCTCTTCATAAGCTGAAAGGACTGTGGATGTTTCCTTAAGGAGAAGAGTAGATCTTTGGAGATGCTGAGGTGTAGTAAAGTCACAGATTTACCCTAGCAAATGCAAAGGTGCGAGAATATGTTCTGTCTTTAATTCCTGTGACTGATCCAATCAGTGTCCCCAGCCGTCACCCTTTTCCCTGTCCCTTACTCTCCATACCCCCATTTTCTAGGTATCAGATGAAAATCAGCTCAGCTGTCACATCAGAGGTATCTTTGCTGCTTTAAATTATGTCCTTAGAGTGACTCACTTTGGGCATTTGGGTAAATGTTCAGCCCTTCAGATTTTTTCCTTTCTATCTGTTTAATTTGGTATCTGAATACCAAGGGGACTTTCCTGTCTTCAGACCTCCATGTGGCCTCTTGCTTTCATAGTCGCTGCTATAGGGTAGGTGGTCACAAGCCTCTCTTGAGGTGCAACTGTACCGTCCTGGCCTCTTGGCATGCATCTCTGGCATGTATCCCCAACCATGCCATTGCCTCCAGTAATCAAGCACAAGTCTCAACTAGGCACACTCATCTCCAAAAAGATGAGACGTAGATCCCTGTCAGAGGAAGATTAGCATCGAGCTAATGAAGCTTAAGCTTCCAGGCCTTTCACTTGTACAAGTCATGGGAGGGACTTGAACTTTTAAGACTCTGGGAGAAGGGTCCATTTAATAATGTGGTCCAATCATTATTATAAAAGTTGCAAAAATAAGCACTTTCCTTATTCTTTTTCTTAAAGAGAGCCTCCAAACTATATAAATTTTAGACTCAGAAAATCTGGATCTATCTGATCTCTGTCCAACATCTTTTTCATACACACCTGGACTCTATCATGTATAAACCTGGGTACTGGGTAAAGTTCTCACCTTCTGTCTCTAGGGGACATCACTCATGGCTCAAGGAAAGCCCTACAACTTGGCAAAGAGGAATTTCACAGCAAAATATTGGGAAGTGGCAAGAAAGATGTGCATGTAGTAATACTCCTGGCTCTCCATGGCCTTCACATAGTGTCAGGATATCCAGGAATTCCCAGGTGTCTAGAAAGGGGTCCCTCAATGGATACCTACAGAGGGGACCTCTCGATAAACAGATTGGTCAGGGATAAAAGCTCTTCAGGTTAAGGACTTTGGTTTCTTAAGGTGGCAGTTAGCAGAAATGGGTGCCTTCATGTGTCAAGCAGCCAGAGAAAATGTGTAAACAGTGCAGGCAGGTCAGACCTGCCACGCTGCACCAAAAACCAGCGAGGACGAGTGGTAATAGTAGTCTGTGGATATGAAGCACCTTTGTACTGCTACCCCTGGGTCACATGAGCCCTCATGCCTGGGAAGCCATTGTGGAGGAGAGTATATGGAGGGAATGGGGGGGGAAGAAGGAGTCTGAAAGACTGAGCATTTATTCAGAGGATCTAAGTCAACCAAAAGAGACCTGTTAAACTGACAGGACTGAAATTCCCTAGGACCACGATTTTGAAAGTGTTCTGTGAGATCAGCTGCCTCCTTCTTTGTGAGCACACTGAACTTCATGGTTCAGCCTTAATGGAAGAAATGCAGTGCTCCTCATCCTCAAGGCAGGACTCTGGATCTAGAAGGCACTGGATACCTAAGCACGAGGTGTTGTCAAGATTCAGAGTACACCAAAAATATCCTGCATAGGGTTGTTTTTTAAAAGATCACCCTGACTACAGTGTATAGAATGGAGTGGAAGAAGGAGAATGGATACAAGAAGCCAGTTTAAAAGTTGTTTTAGTAACCCCCTTCCCCCAATGCTGGCTTTGACTACGATTTTGACAGTGGGGACAGAGAGATTGAGAAATCGGTAACTGATTATACGGTATGGGGGAGAAATGAAGTAGAAGAAGGGATCAAGCCAAAGTAGCAGGCTCTGACAAATGAGTATGATGAATAGAGGTGCCCCTTCTTAGGAAAGGAGCACTGTGGGGGCAGCAGGTCTACGAGGACCCGCCAAGCTAGACAAAGACAATAGAAACTACCTGTAGTGTTAAAATTAAACTTGAAAATCAAGGTCCAAAGCAAGTAACAATTTGTGGGTAATGTAGTGTTAATTTCAGAACTTACTAGCAGAAATTGTATAGATTCGAAGATGCTAATTATCCTTACATTAGAATTCTATTTAAAAAAAAATGCTATGTGGCAATAAACTTGCATGACAGTGCTTCACTTCTTAACAAAGAAGGACATGGGAACGTATTAAATTAAGAAACATATTTCCCACTATGCTGTCATTCATTTTTCTTGTGTCTATTTTATCTACCTTTGGTTTTTCTTTAATTGCAGCTTAAAAACATATTCTCCAGAGTTCTCCATTTTCCTAAGCTCATTCATATGACTTTATCATGTTGAGCTCATGTGCAAAGAAAAAGCTAAAGCATTCCATAATTTGGATGGAGGAGTACAAACAAAAACTAAAGTGAAAAACTCTCATAATGCTATATTCTTAGATCACATATGACATATTACTGTTTCCCCATAGGTCAGATGCAGTTATCTGAACTCCAAAAAATTGTTGGTTCTCTTGGACAAGCTGTAATTTCAGGAAAAACCAGTAGTATCCTTGGATTTAATATTTCTTCCATGTCTATAACCAATCCCATCCCCAGCCCAAGTGACTCTGCCTGGATTAAGGTAAGAAAGGGCAACTAGAAAAATATACCTTAGGTATTTAAAACATTGCTGCTTATTTCTTATTTTAACTCTTTATATTTCAATGCAATAATTTAGAGAGCATGTCTTTCTAATTAACGTTGGCTATCTTTAAATGTTTATTTTTTTTTTTAACATTTATTTATTTTTGAGACAGAGAGAGACAGAGCATGAACAGGGGAGGGGCAGAGAGAGAGGGAGACACAGAATCTGAAACAGGCTCCAGGGTCTGAGCGGTCAGCACAGAGCCCGACACGGGGCTTGAACTCACGGACCGTGAGATCATGACCTGAGCTGAAGTCAGACGCTCAACCGACCAAGCCACCCAGGCGCCCCAACGTTGGCTATTTTTAATGGTATACTAAAATGATAAAGTAGTTGAAAAAGGAGCATATGTTCTAAAAAATTATTTATTGGTATAAAATGTGATTTTCTTTGAATATTTATAACAGTGCTTCATGAATTTGATCAGGGGGAAATATTTTAAGAAAATTAATTTCACATATTAAGCATATTTTTACGCTTATTATTACATATTACACTTGGCCTAAGATGAATTTGCTACTGACTGTAATTTATCATGTGAAAACCACTTCATCACTCATGACCGTTAATTTACAGGTGACTGCCCAACCAGTTGAAAGGTTTGCATTTCCTGTTCATCATGTGGCCTTTGTGTCCTCACTCTCAGTGATCACTCAGCCCGTGGCAGCACAGCCAGGACAGCCATTTTCTCAGCAACCTGCAGTAAAGGCAGTAGATTCAGATGTAAGTTATAACCCAGAGCTTTAACTGAGTGAAGGAATTAAGCTATAAATTCTGGAAGGTGAGCCAACTTCTGTAATCCTGGTATGCTGGCAACCTGAGGATTTCACTACCCCTTGAAAACTGGACTAAAACCTGTGGATATAATATTTTACTGTTTTAAAAATGTTCCTTTTCAATGAACTTGTTCCACTGCCCACCCATATTTGTGAACTCCTTGTACAGGAGAAGCTTCTACAGATTTCAGATTTGTATTGAGGCATTTTAAATAATATAGTTTTGCATATCTTAAAAAAAAAAAGCATGGGAACAGGACAATTATAATTCTCTATTACTTTTTTCTTTTTTTTTTACATTTTTTTTTTAAAGTTTATTTATTTTGGGGACAGAGAGAGACAGAGCATGAACGGGGGAGGGGCAGAGAGAGAGGGAGACACAGAATCGGAAGCAGGCTCCAGGCTCTGAGCCATCAGCCCAGAGCCTGACACGGGGCTCAAACTCACAGACCGTGACATCGTGACCTGGGCCGAAGTCGGCCGCCCAACCGACTGAGCCACCCAGGCGCCCCATCTATTACTTTTTTCTTTAGGGTAATTGTGTATCAGTTGGGATTACTTCACTGACTTTGAAGGCCATACTAAAGGACTCCAATAATAACCACATCACTGGTCTTAGTGGAAATACAACAATTCCATTCAGCAGCTGCTGGGCCAACTATACAGACCTTACTCTTCTTAGAACAGGTGAGTGTACTATTTTGGATCTTCACATATACATCCACAAATAGGGATAATTATAATTGAACAAAGCATTCTATAATACTCTGATCAATAAATTATAGAAATTGGAACACTATACCTGCCTTGTTTCAAAGAACATTTCAGATAACATCTAGCTTACAAAAGTATCCAAAACAAAATAGAAATTAAAATAGGAAAGGAAATTAAACAGATAATCTGAGGCTGTGCATCAAAATTATATCATGATTCATATTTTTATCCATTTGTTGATTTTTCTAAATTTTCACTAAATATGCATTACATTTATAATAAAAACAAGCAATACATAGATTTTCAAATTGAAGAAAAGGGAGGATAAGATAGGCTAATGTAACTTTAATGCCCCATGCAGGGGTTCAGAGTTGGACTGAAAAGTGGGTTCTAAGCTTTCTGAAAGCCATTACAAAGGAGAAAACATAAGCATTATGATTCCACAGTGCCCATCAGGAAAAACCAGTAAACAAACCAGTTGTTGTGGAGAATTATAACTTGTTATGAGATCAGAACAAATGTGTCCTATGAGTTTTCATAAAGTATACCAAATGAATCTGTATGAAGTGATATCTTCAATATTACAATAAATAGTTATAACTTCCACTGTGATGTTTCTTATATTATCGTTATACGGGTTGATGGCATAACTCCAATTGGTAAAAGCCTTCCTACTGAGGCCAAAACAGATTGTAGAGTAGCTACTGGTGATAGATTGTAGAGTATCTAAAAGAGAGAAATTGATAAATTACTTATACTTGAGACAGGCTTCTGTTAATCTGTTTACCATTAATCTGGGCCCATTTAAGAACTTTATAGGCCCTAACTTCTGAAAAGTTATATTGGTACTCCCCACTTCTTACCACTGTTCTCTCACACATATATACATACTAAAGGTGAGAATAAAGGTAAAAAGTGAAGAGTAAAATAAGTAAAAGAAATTCCAATAATAGTCTGATTCTTTTCATATCAACTAAATATCAAAGACAAAAATCATTCCCCCTAGTATCTTTTTTCTTATTTTTTACTTCTTCTTGCTTTGATGGTACCCTCAACCAGACAAGCTTGGTCTGCCTACTAGGCAGCAGTATCTCAACCCAGTGTTCGATGGGACTCAAATGAAAATGAGTTGTGATCCTAGACAGGTACCTAGAGTGCCCTATACACTTGCTGGTTAAGGGCAGAGCCTAAGTCTTTCTGAGTCAGTGTAAATGGTAGTAGGACTGGGATCCTCTTCTGGGAAGTGAGTCACTTAACAAGAACCCAGGTGAAGAGAAGGTTGCCCACTGCCTCATGAAGGTGGACCCAAATGGTACCCAGTGGCAAAAACCAACCTGGACGCTATGTTCTTCAAAGTGCCACTTCCAAATAGCAATGTTCCAAAATAACCAGTATCACTGGAATGCTGAAACAATAATATAAGTTTTGGTGTTTTATTGTGATAACAAAATATCATTCCCCTTTTATACACTAAATTTTCCTTCCTAGTTCAAAGCTTCCCTCGAAGTATTTATCTGACTGCTATGGAGAACAGCCATTGCTTCTAATCTCTTTCTTGCTTGCTTACCTGCTGTCCTACTTTCTTACTTTCATCAAGTGTACGGTCTCAGTTCTCTGGTTGTATATAGTAAGGAACACCAACGACAGTCATCTCTTCATTATCTTTAGATCAGTTATCTAATTGGTAGATTAACCACTATAAAATTGTAATAACAACAAAGCACATGAGAAAAAAATAACAAAGCATCGTTTTTGTAACTCTTTCTGGTAGGCAACCCCCATAGTTACTGGAAGTGGGAAATCCCCTTAGAGATCAGCCGAGAGCCTGACAGTGTGGCCCCACACCCGCTTCTACTTTTAGCTCAATAAGAAGCAAAGCAGGGGCCAAGATAGAGAGGAGGTATGGGTTGTGGTTTCTCACACAGAAAATGGGGATGTGAGAATTAAGTGAGAAAAGGGTGGAAGAAGAATAAAGTAAACAGCTGAATCTGCATCTTTGAGCAATCTGGATAAAAAATAGTATTCCTAGTGGATAACAACATTTGGGACATGTTTACCTGGCAACCTATATGATATAAAGTGCTTGTTTCTGTTCTTATTGCTACATAACACACCAGCCCCAAATCTAATGGCTGAAACAACAACCATTTCACTTGCTCACAACAGTGTAGGCCAGGAATTTGGACAGGGATGGCTTATATCTGCTCAGTGATGTCTGGAGCTTTAGCTGGGATAGCTTGACTGAAATCATATACCTAAGGTTTTGATTCTGGATTTTAGCCAGGTTCTTCAGTTCTCCTGCAGGGAGTGACCTCTCCACAAGGCTCTCTTGGGCTTCCTCACAGTATATATAAAACATACTGAAAATACAGTACATTTTAAGAAAAAAATACGCCTGCCACGAAACTTCAGTTTTTTTCAAACTGAAAAAAGGAAAGACTTAAATACGCCATTGTCATGGATTGTAATGGTGGCAGAAAATTCTATAGAACAAGGACCGTCTGTCTTGAAAGTTACAGAATGCACTGGCATTGTTTGTGAAAGCACAATGAGGTCAAGATCTAACTATACTCTGAAAGAAAGGAAAGGAAAGGGAAGGGAAGGGAAAGGAAGGGAAGGAGAGGAAAGGAGATGGAAGGGAAGGGAAGGGAAGAAAGAAGGAGGGGGAGGGAGGGATGAAGGGACAGAGAGGAAAAGAAAGAAAACAGAAATGATTTTTTTAAAAAAAAGATAATAGAAGGAGAGGAATGAAAACTTCAGGGTTGGACAAGAATTGCAAACTCGGTGTGGTAGCCATTATTAATGACAGCAGGAGTTGTAGAAGCAATTATGTCAAGGAAAAATATATTGGTTATCTCATGTTCAAAACCGGGGAGATTTAACATATGGATTAAAAAATATTTGGATAAGCTTTTTATGTTCCACATTCTAAAAATATCTAAAAAGTTTCCTTAAGCTTGTCTGCATGGAAGTAAGAAGAAAGGGTCACAATTGTGCAACACAAAAATAGCATCTGACTTAAAGGAAGTGTGAAAAACAGTAAAATTGTTGAATCAAAATGGAGGGCATATGGTTTTTGTTGTACTATTCTTCCAACTCTTCTGTGATTGAAACTTTTCAAAATAAAAAGTTTAGTGTTTCGGTATCCACCCCCATCTCCCTCAGCTGAGGCTGAGGCTTCTCTACTCCAGGTCAAGTATCCAGGGATGGAACAGAGGCTCAGTATTTTTACTTCCTTTCCCTACTGTCCCTCATTTTAAGCAGCCTCTCTCTAGTCCTGAGCACTAGGAAGATATCCCTAAGAAGCAAGTACTGATGCTACAGAAAGAAAATCTAGCCAGATTTCCCCTGCCCACAGTTGATGGGCAGTTGGAACTCTAACTCTGAGACCTCCTCTATGCATGTTTATACTTCAATGAATCTGTTTGGCTCAATTTCCAAAAATACTTCATTAGGAATTATACAGTACTTTTAAGTCAATGAAAACCCAACTGGGTCTGTGTGAAAACAAACAAATTATAAAAGGAAGTCAAATTCTATAATGATGTTTCTTCCTAGGAAAAAATTATAAGATTGAATTTATACTGGATGATATTGCCCGGGTGGAATCTGGGACTCTGAGTCTACCAGCACAGTCTGTCGCTAGTGGTGGTGGCACCAATGGTGGCAGCAGCAGCAGTGGCAGCAGTGACAGCAGCAGCGGCAAAGCATTGACTATGGGCACAGCTGCGCAGACAGTGATTGTAGTAATTAGCTGTCTGATGGGAAGAGTGTTGCTCTTGGAAACATTTATGGCCACGGTTTTGATTTTGAACATAAATCTAGGTAAGCATAGTTCATTTCTTATGTAATGTATGTATATGTCTCCACATACTGAGATTCCAGTAAATGTTTACTAAACAGAGATCAAGGGCACAACCATTGTTTTTTTTTTTTTTTTTTTAATTTTTTTTTTTTCAACATTTATTTATTTTTGCGACAGAGAGAGGCAGAGCATGAACGGGGGAGGGGCAGAGAGAGAGGGAGACACAGAATCGGAAACAGGCTCCAGGCTCTGAGCCATCAGCCCAGAGCCCGACGCGGGGCTCGAACTCCCGGACCGCGAGATCGTGACCTGGCTGAAGTCGGACGCTTAACCGACTGCGCCACCCAGGCGCCCCAAGGGCACAACCATTGTGCATGGCACCACTGGGAACACAGAGACATGGTCTTGGCCATTGAGAAAGTAATAGCTTCAGTGGTGGAGATAAAGACAACCTTACAGGAAATGTTATTCACATTACATGACGGCATATGGGAATGTGGGGAATGAGAAGATAATGGTGGGCTCTCTTTCAGTTACAAGGGGCAGAAGCTCAGCTTGAATTGGTTTAGGCAGTAAAATGAACTCACTTAACTGAGAAGTCCAGTTGTGATTTCTGCTATAACTAGACGTAAGCACTCACATGATGTCATCCAAAAATTATGTCTCTCCATCTCTGGACTCCATGCTCCTTGATGGTAGTATATTCACTCTCAGGCAGACTGACCACCCCCAAACCTCATGGCAGGGGTACCACCTGTGTCTTCATGTACGTTCTACCAGCCCGGCAGCTAATGCAGAAAGAGCAAACCTCTTTCTCAACACTTTCAGCAAAATCCCAAAGCAGTATCATTGACCTAGTTTGGGTCACACATCCATTCTTGAACCAATCACTAGGGCCACTGGGTGCTGTGTACCCCATCCCAGCTAATGCCAAGGTCATTTTTCTCATCTCTCAGGCTGATACTTTCTTAGGCTTCTTTCCTTCAAGCTCCATGTCCCTTCAAGTTGCCCTATGTCCATCCATAATGTTACAGATCTGTTCCTCCTTTAAAGTCTTGGGGCTCCACTTACAACTTCTTCTTTTTTATTACTTCTTTCTTGAGCTTTTACAATAGCCTCCTGAATTCCCTGCTTCCGAACTCCTCACTTTCAGCCTATCCTCCATATAGCTGTCAGATTTATGACATGTAGTGATGTCATGTAGTGATTTGTCATGTCAGATCCTCAAAGATTCCTCACTACATGCAAATTGTAATCAACACCAAAGGTCCTGAAGTCAGTTTTGAAGATTTCCTCCTGTGACAAATCATTCCTAGAAAAGATTCTTGCCATCCTATGTATTCCCTCCCTTTGGGCTTTCTCTGCTCATGGCTAATGAGCTAATGCTCATGGCTAATACATGTAATTCTCTTCTCCCTTGTTCTCCAGTTATGCTTTGTTTCTACCATTATTATAGCCTTTCCTGTGGTATACTTGTATTAAACTTAACACAAATTCAAATCTACCTTCCTTCACTAAATAAACTGTGAGTACTCAGAAGATAAGACCACATACCGTATTTATCATAGGTGCTAAAAATGTGGTTTAGTTGATTTTAAATATTAAAAGGGGGACAAGTCCTGCCTGCCAACATAGGAGGAAATGTTGAGTTGGGGTAATATAGGCAAACAGTAAAAAGCTTAGACTGGCAGGTATTAATCAGTTTGCAGTTGATCTAATAGGGGAATGATGAAGAGTTTCTGACAGATTAATGAGATGAAAGTATCACATAAAGAATACTGATAAGATTTAAGAAGATGAAAACGGTGCTAGAGATTGGTTGCACAGCAGTGTGAACATACCTAACGCTACTTGTCCACTTTAAAAATGGTTAAAATTTGGGGTGCCTGGGTGGCTCAGTTGGTTAAATGCCTGACTTTGGCTCAGGTCATGGCCTCACGGTGTGTGAGTTTGAGTCCCATGTTGGGCTCTGTGCTGACAGCTCAGAGCCTGGAGTCTGCTTTAGATTCTGTGTCTCCCTCTCTTTCTCTGCCCCTCCCTCACTCACTCTCTCTCAAAAATAAATAAACATTTAAAAAATTTTTAAATAAATAAAAATGGTTAAAATTTTATGTTATATGGATTTCACCCTGATTAAAAATAAAATTTAAAAAATCAGGATTGATCTATACAGAACCAATACAGATCTCCAAATATCAAAAGATGATAAATATTCTAAGTTTTAAGATACCTAATTAGATTCTTATATTTGAGTAATAATCAAAATCCAAAGAAAGATTTAAGAAGAATTTGAGATGGGGTAATAATTTAAAAGGATACTGAAGAATTTCAAGCAATAAAAGCCAAGACCATAATTTAAATTTAAACATAGATAAGGTCAGGATGAAGGGACACATTGAGGCTGGTTCTGGGAGTAGCAGAACAAACTGGAGGCTGGGGTTTCAAGAACAATGATCAAACAGGAATTATCTGTTCTTTCCTCTTAATGGCAGAAATCAATTAGGAGACAGCTGTCAAGGGAGAAGTGTGGTTTGAAGAGACTCAGTCCTGGCCTCTTATAGCTGAATAAGGGTGGGTTTAGAACTAAGGGACAAGAAGGAAATGATCAGCACACAAGTTATTGTATTTTTATGCTAGAATTCTAACAGAAGCAAAACCAGTTGTCCATTTTACAATAGCATGACAGGTACTACTTGAATTTGTTTCTTCTCAGAAGCATTAAACTATAAGGTATAAGTACTGCTTAGTATATCTTTGTGCATTTTGTATTTACTCACTAAATGCATTGTTTTCTAATTACCCTCACTGACTTTCAGCCTGCTTATTCCCAAAAACTTTGGGATTATATAAAATTCAGAAAATTCTATTTTCAAGTCATTAGTAAATAATATTGTTCCTGGCATTTTCTCCTCCGCCCCTTCCCCCCCT